TTACCTCCAACTGCACCAAGTGTTTGTTCTTGTTCTGTCGGTGGTGTCACTTTCTCTGAACCATGCAATCCAAAAGATAAGTTTGCTATGTCTAGTATTCCTCTTTCCAGTGCTCTTGGCTCTTCTCCAGATTCCACTTCTTTCTGTAAATCTTCTTCGTGATCTTTCAAAAATCTATCTTTGTCATCAATTGATCTTATTTTTATCTTTCTTCCTTTATATTTAAAGGACAGGCCTTGGGGAAATTCCCACCTAAAGATGATTCTATTGCTTCTCAACAGAGCAACCAGATCTCCGTAGTTAAACCTTAAATCCAAAAGATGTTTTGGAATGTCCTTTGGAAAGACTGATGTATTTCCAAAGTCTTTCGGAAATGCAGATTCAAGATTTTGTCTCTCTCCTCTTTTGTTCGAAGGGTAATCAAACAGTCTCTCACCTTGTTCTTCTTTCCTCCTCTTCCAAGCCTGAATGCACTCACTATCTTAAATTCTTCCTTCCCCAAATCTAGTTGCCAGAAGTCTGCAAATTCCTGCATAAGAAAGTCAATCAAATTATCTTTCTCAAGTTCAGGTACGGCCCTGATCCTCAGATTCGTTTGTTTCTCCTTCAATTCAGTCATAGACAACATCAACCTGTGGTCCTCGAGTTGCCTATATATCGGTGGTATCTTCTCTTCAGCAGCAGTTGCTATATCCTTTGCTTCTTCAGCTGTCTTTTGGGTCAAAGTAGATTCCTGTAACAATTTCTCAATAGTCTCTGTATTGGTGTTCACCTTCTGTCCCAAATTGTTAATACTTGTAGTATTTTGATCAATTTTAACTGATGCTTCAGCTACTTGTTTATTTGTTTCAGCTACTTGTTTACTTAGGTTTTCCAAAGATTCATTAATTTTTCCTAGTGCCAAAGCTAAAACATCTTCAGACGACATTCCTTTTGGTTTAACTTGTACAGGTGCAGCCCCTGATATATTTAAAATGCATCTCTGGGTTATTTGTGGGGCATAGGAATTCATTCATCCCCCCCAAATATAGTCTGGCCCCCCACAAGGTCTGAGGGACGGTGGACTGGCCCATGGCTGAAAAAGGTTGCTGACCCCGGCTCTAAACCATGCGTAGTAAACGCCTTCTTGACCGTTGGACTTAATCTCAGTCACGTTTGCTCAGTCCGCCAGAGCCTTTCTTCACCTACAGGAGAAGTCCTTCACTCACTGGATTCCAGGTGGAAAAATCAAAATTGGAAACAGAACTGTTAGATTCCAAAACTAAGACTTTGTCAAGGATGTATAACTTGCTGTTGAAATGGAATACTCAGGATGAAACTGTGAAATCTGCTATGATTAAATGGGCACAAGATGTTGGACATAACATTATGATGGCTGACTGGGAACAGTTATGGACCACAGGTATGAAGTTTACGGCATGTAATGCTTTAAGAGAGAATATTATGAAAATGATATACAGGTGGTACATGACACCAGTCAAGCTTGCAAAAATCTATCACTTGCCCGATAATAAATGTTGGAAATGTAAAGAAACTGAAGGTACATTCTTTCACCTTTGGTGGACGTGCTCAAGGATTAAGGCTTTCTGGGAGATGATATATAATGAAATGAAAAGGGTATTTAAATATACCTTCCTGAAGAAACCAGAGGCCTTTCTCCTGGGCATAGTCGGCCAATTGGTGCCAAAGAAGGATAGAACTTTCTTTATGTATGCCACAACAGCAGCAAGAATACTTATTGCAAAGTACTGGAAGACACAAGATCTACCCACCCTGGAAGAATGGCAGATGAAGGTGATGGACTATATGGAATTGGCAGAAATGACTGGCAGAATCCGAGACCAGGGAGAAGAGTCGGTGGAAGAAGACTGGAAAAAGTTTAAAAACTATTTACAGAAATATTGCAAAATTAATGAATGTTAGAATGATGTTGGATAGAAATTAAGTGGTTTTTAGCTGTAATATTATAAGGGAATATGAAAAATGGATTATTAATAGGTAAAAAATTAATGTTACAATATTTTAAGATTAAAGACTAGGATAAACAAAGAGGGGAGGGATTGGCTGAACTAATAAACTGAATTGGAATACAAAAAAGGGAGGCGCGAGGAGGTCCGGGAAACAAGCAAATGAAAGATCAGTAACGGAAAGATTGACTTGTTTTTAACTATTTTTATTTTGTATTTTTCTTTTTTCTTTTTTCATTTTGTAATATTTTGAAAATTTTAATAAATATCTTTTTTTTAAAAACCAAAAACCTGTGTCTATTAGAATACTGCCAGTCTGCGACGTAGCATCCTTAATTCACAGAGTCTAGATTGGGGTAGGGGACCTTCTGAATGTTGTTATGTTTACTCCCATCTGCCACCGTGGTGAATGGTCAGGGATGGTGGGAGTCCTACTCCAACACATGGAGGGCCATCTCTGAGGGCCATCTCTGGTCTAGAACCCACACTAGTTTCATATTTTGAAGGAAATACATTCATACCCTAGAATGAAGTCACGACGTCAATGATCACATGGTGGCTTCATTCCAATTATTTTCCAGCCTGTCATCTACTATACCTGCAGGAATACCAGGTTTAGGACATCTCTTTAATGATTCAGAAACCAAGTGCTTTGTGCTGACGACATAATTATATAATAACTGTCAACATGGTCTCCACCCCTGTCAAAATAGCATGCTTTGAACAAGCTACCCTTCACTGAGCTATAACTACAAGCTATTATGTCTGAGAGTCTCATTAATATCTCTTGGGCACAGCCCTGCAACAGCAGCTATTGCTTTCTTAAGCATGCTGTAGGCTGGCCTGCTTTGCTTCGTTCTGAACTAAAATACGTACAGCCAGCAGAAGCCCGCCTTTCTGCCTTTGGGCCTTTGGCTCGGAGGGGCTCTACCCTGTGTGTGTGTGTGTGAAAGAGAGAGAGAGAGAGAGAGAGAGAGAGAGAGTGACTGTGTCACTGAAGCTGATAGGACGAATGCTGTAGCTTCACACACTTACCTTCACACAATGTGAAATTAACTTAGGGAATTTTTACCGCAGGATGTCAGTACTTTATATTTACAAGCAGATCTGAGAGATGAATGGGAGATACGGTTTGTCAGTATTAATGGGACAGCTAAATAGAAACTTAACCCCAAAAGTTAGGACCAAGATTCAAATCCTGACTGGGTAACTTTGTTCACTAGTAACATTGAACCATGAGGACGAGATGGTTGGACAGTGTTCTCGAAGCTACCAGCATGAGTTTGGCCAAACTGGGGGAAGCAGTGGAAGACAGGAGTGGCTGGGACAGGTGAGGCTGCTGATCCCTTATTTTCAAATCTGAAAGTTGACAGCTATGCTGGGAATATGTCATATTGATTTGTTTCAATGGGCCTACTCTCAGTAGGTCTAATGTCAGATACAACACATTGCTTTTTTGCTGTTGCTCGCATACTTGTGCTTCTGTTTATCAGAAGAGGCCAGGACTGGTGCAAAACTGCCTCTCCACCTATAACCTCAAAAAATCCTGTCCCTTGTCCCCCTGCCCTCCAAGATTTCAAGCATTGCTTAAATGAGAACGTTTTTGAATTTGTTGTATTCTGAATGCCCATCACTGCTGCACTCTCATAGATGCTGTGTGTAGCAGCATCTTAGAGCTTCAGCTGTATATTGGAATTTTGGGGTCCCCTGCTGCAACAAAAATCAGATTTAAGCTGGTTAACACCTTTGTTCAATGGGCAAATTTATAGAAATGTGATGTGGCAACTTTTAGGGAGAGCACGAAGTGTAAAGTAAGGGCGCCATCTGCTGGTTTGAGTTTTGCTCATCCATATTTTGTTCATAATAACGTAGCATTAAATTCCCTTGTGTGCAGTGCATGGCTCATAACTGTATATGGTGTGTGCATATGTAAGTTTCTATAGCCCTCCATTCCTTCCTATGAGGGTTGCTGAAGGTTGAGGGCTTGTGCAAGTTAGGCTAGGAATGGAAGAGAGTGTCTTGTAATACTTCTCTTGGAGATGCCACAGGTCCCATAGAACAGATGTGCAATCACATCCCCACAGTAAAACTTTCAGGTTTCACTTGCTGTTGCAAGAATTGTTGTTTACCCATGTTTTAGGTTTACCAAATGGTTTAGGTTTTAGCTGTTTGACTGTTAATAAACATCAGTTCCCCCAAAGTGGAAGCATTTTGCTGCTAGGAATATTTTATCAGGTCTGGGAAATGTGGTGCCAGTTTCACAACCACAGCATGCGCAGCTGCACAGCACTGAAGCTATTATCAAAGTGTTAAATGATTGGTCTGATTGTTCTATCCAGAATATGACAGTACTTTGACATAGCACTCTTGAAATACCCTTAAAGAATAGGGCAGAAACTTGCTCTCTGCTTCCCTAGAGGGCAAGACTAGATTTAAGTCACAGAAAGGTAGATTTTGGTTGAATCCAGATTAAGGCTACAACCTGAGTCAACATGGCTAGATTTGCAGAGTATGTCTCCAGTCCTAAGTGTTGATATTAATATTTCCCCCTATTACAAAAGGAGCTAGGGTCTCACCCACTCAAAAGTATTCCAAGGGGAACTTATTTTAAATGAAAAATGCAAAGAAAAGATCAGGAAAGATGGGGTGAAAATGAGGCAAAGGGAGGCTGCTAACAGACGATTTACTACAAAGATGGAAAAGGAAGTCTTCAGCTTTCCTGGTGTTGTTTTTTATTTTATTTTTATTAAATTCCAAGAATAAACTCCGAGAAAAGGAGCTTAAAAGGCTGGAACTTCAGCTCATTCCCGGAGATTTGACAACCCCTCAGTCCAGACACAAATGCTCCAGCCTTTGCGAAAAGGCTGTCTCGCCGCATCTCTTACGCCCTCGAGCTGAGCGGCTCTGGCGGAACCTTTGTCCTGCGCTCCCTTGTTTCTTTCCGGAGGCCGCTTACCGTTGGAGCGCGTCTGGGCCCGATTGCCCCGTTGCCATGGGGATTGCCCGGAAGGAGCGTGTGCCCTCTTGAAAAAGCTCCCCCGGCTTTTTCCGGTGTTGCGAAAGCGGCGCCGAGAAGGTAAGTCAGCCCGCGTAAAGGGGGAAAGAGGCTCCTGGGTGGCTGTCTAGGAGCCAGGCCGGGTTTTTTGTGGGGGGATATGGGATTTTTTTTGGAGGGCATGCAAGCCGCGAGTGGCGTGGGCAGAAACCCCCTTCACCTGCCGCTGATTCTGTGAGCACCGCCAGCAATCCTCCTCCTCTCCATTGTTATAAGAATTCTAAGGCCTCAAATATAGACTAAATATTCATAAATGCACACATATCTATATATATAAACCATGTGTCTGAAATAGTACGGGAGAGCAATCCTGAGGCCATCTTGACTCTCAATGACCTCAAATACTCATCTGCAGTGAGGGAGGCAAATAGGGAAAGCCTCCCCATTGCCTTTTCGCTTGCAAATCCTGTCTTAAGGGTGTATTTGTGTATGAATAGGGTGAGCCTGTGACCTGGCTTCAGGAACTAAAGTAATAACCATCACGAAAGAATGGCCAGGCTGCCCAGCTAATGCAGTCGGCGACCATTATCAGGTATCCTGGTAGGCAGGGTTTCTGCTGTAGACTGCCTCCTATGATATATGTATGATGATTTTGGGGTGGTCTTTGGCTTAGGGGGTTGGGCAATGTCAAAAGTCTTTAAAGGTTCCTGCACACTTTTGTTGAGGGTCTCTCCCCTCCTTGGAAGGAGGGGAGGGGACTCTGTTGCAACAGAAAAATAAACATCTGCCTTGTTTTCCACTGGATTCTGCCTCCATCCATTCTTCTCTGGCCGATCATGGACTTAGGGGACTCAGATTCCCATGGGGAGTTGGGAAGCAAAAGCCAAACCCCAATTTTTACATCACCATTATCGAAATCACACAAGTCAGTTTCCCCCTCTTTTTTCTGTGTCCCCTAACCAGCCAGCAGTTCACATCTCTTCCCCTTTCCCGCACTCCAGGTTGCCCTGGCATTATTCACTTGCCTTTAGGAGCCTCTGGAAAAACAAAGGAGGAGCTTTCCACAACAACTTTGTCTCCGTGCCCTTTTTTAAAATTATGAAGCACTTGTTTAGCGAATGGCTGTGGGGCAAGTCTTGCCAGGCCACCAGAAAAGTGTTCGTGGTGCTAGGTGTTTTCTTAGCACCAAGCTCTAATGGAAATGCTGGTGATGCTTCAAATGCGAGATGAAAAACCGCTAGCCCCACATCCAGGCTCCCTCCAGTTTTGGACAAACTGTGACACCCCACCCCCACCAAGAGTCTTTTAATACAGTAGTTTCCAATGACAAGACAGGATCGGGCCCTATGTAATTTGAGCTGAGTACTTTGAGAGCGTTTCCTTCCCCTCCTAATCAAAGCTGCATTCTGCATATCAGAACTGAAGACAGAGCCCCCACAAATCTCTGGTAGTCTTTGTAGCTCTTTTCAGAAATGTAACGCTGTACTGTAGAATCCTCAGACTGATTTTATGATGATACTTTTCAAATGTGAGAGTATGGTAGGCCTTCAAGCTAGGAGACACCTTGATTTTGAGGGAAATAAAAAGACTTTGTTTTTCTGTCTTCTCCATACTTTGTGTCCTATTATGTCTTCTAACATCCCGGCAGTGACTGTGGTTTTCGAATAGAATTTGATATACTTTAATACTTAGTAAATGATAAAAAAAACCAACAATTCTGTGGGTAATTCCAACTGGTTAGGTTGATACTATTCTTTAAACCGCCCTGAAAGCCCTGGGTATAGGATGGTATATAAACTCAATTAATAATAATAATAGTAGTAGCAGTAGTAGTAGTAGTAGTAGTAGTAATAAAGGTAAAGGGACCCCTGACCATTAGGTCCAGTCGTGAGCGACTCTGGGGTTGCGGCGCTCATCTAGCTTTATTGGCCGAGGGAGCCAGCGTACAGCTTCCAGGTCATGTGGCCAGCATGACCAAGCCGCCTCTGGCAAACCAGAGCAGCGCACAGAAACGCCGTTTACCTTGCCGCCGGAGTGGTACCTATTTACAGTGGTGCCCCGCAAGACGAATGCCTCGCAGAACGAAAAACCCGCTAGACGAAAGGGTTTTCCGTTTTTGCGTTGCTTCGTAAGACGATTTCCCCTATGGGCTTGCTTCGCAAGACGAAGGGCTTGATCCGCGCCGCGTGCAAACCGCTTTCACCGCCAATCTATCTATGCGGCAGCGGGGAATCTAATAGTAATAGCAATCAATACATTATTAGCGTCCGGAAACACAGCCGGTGGTGATGCTGCCCGCGCCGCTTCGAAAAGTTCCTAGGCTTCAGCCTTAGAACTGGGAGGGGACCTGGCGGCGACACCCGGCTCGGGGTGGGATTTCCCCGTCTGCGCTCTTAGCGCACGCGGCGACCGCTAGATCCCGAGGACGGCAGACTGGGCGGGGGGGCATGAAAAGTTTTGCCTGCCCATCTCCGAGGAAGCGGGGGGAGATGATCCCTGTCAAGGGAAGAAGGGGGCACCCATTTGCCAGCAGCCGGTGCCCCCGAACCGAGGCTGGCACCATCGCCTGTCAAAGTGACCGCAAAGGCGAGCTCCGGTCGTGCGGCCGAGGGAAGCCCCGCTGTGGGTCGTCCAAAGTCAGCCCGAGCACGCCAGTCACCTAAAAGGCATGGAGAGACGGAGGGAGCGCGCGAGGATCCCGGTGCAGAGGAGGCTCCTGCAGCAAAATAAAGGCAGCCGGCAGCCGGAGGGCTCCAGAACACGGAGCTGCGGCGGGGCCGTCGATGGCGTTGCCGGAGACTCCTCCCTCTGGGCCTCGCTCTCTCCGCTTTCGCCGCTGCTTGCCCTGCCTGCGATCGGCCGGGCTCATCGCTCCGCTCTGCAGAGCGCTGCACAAAGGCGCGGCGGGACAGGTGTCCGGGGACGCTTTGGCTGAGCGCGCCCCGGGATCGGAGGTGCGGGGTGCTTGCTGCAGATCTTATCTTCTGGGGTCACTGGGATGGCGGGGGTCGGGGCTTGTGTTATGTAAGGGCGTCAGGAGGGGACTGCTTAAGAGGCCGGACGAGGCTTATGCAATGGCCAGATGCTCCCTAGGGGTCAAGGCTTGCAGTTGCGGGAACGAGTTTATACCTGTAGCTGCTAAGCCGCTAATAGCCGTGCTTCGCAAGACGAAAAAAACCGCAAGACGAAGAGACTTGCGGAACGGATTAATTTCGTCTTGCGAGGCACCACTGTATCTACTTTCACTTTGACGTGCTTTCGAACTGCTAGGTGGGCAGGAGCAGGGACCGAGCAACGGGAGCTCACCTCGTCACGGGGATTCGAACCGCCGACCTTCTGATCGGCAAGTCCTAGGCTATGTGGCTTAACCCACAGCGCCATCCGCGCCCCAGTAGTAGTAATACAAACAACTAATTTCACAGAGTTGTTGTGAGAATAAAAATTGGGTGGCGAGAGAACCACCTTGAGCTCTTCAAGGGACACGTGGGATATACGGTAAATGTAATACATGGAAGTAATTAAATAATACCAAAATATCAGTGACCAACTGTGGACCTGATTTATGCTTTCAGGCTGCTAAGATGTCGAGCCAAAAGAAGTGTCCAGACTGTGGCTCCTTGGAAATTGTAGAGGACTCTCATTATGCTCAGAACCAGCTGGTGTGCGCAGACTGTGGCTTCATTCTAACTGAAGGGCTTCTCACAACCACATATGCTGATGAAGAACATTTACAAGGTGAGGCTAAGAATAGCAAAATAGCTCAAAACTCTTTGTATCTTACAAAGACATAGGATTTGAGATACGACTTGAAAGCAGTTCTCAAATATAGACAGGCCCTACACCATTCAACAGTTTAAAAATGGGTGCATGTTTGAGAGCTTGGACCAAAGTTTGGCTGATATCTGTGTTTTTATCTCATAGAAGTCACATATTCACGGAGTACTGGTCAGAATGAGCAAACGAGCCGTTGTGTACAGCGAGGTACGTATTCTGCATTACTCTGTTGATGCTTTGTGGAAATTAATGTGCCTGTCATCCACAAGAGCTGCATTGTTTCACTTTCTAAAAGCAAAGAGAAATTTGCATTTTTAAAACAGTCTTACCTATTTGCTGTGGGACCAACATCAAAACAACCTATTTTAGAGTTTTAGAGGTACATAGAGTCCACAGTTCAGTTTGATTGCCTGATCAAATCCCACCTGAATCATTGACAGACTGGTTAACCATGGACCAGTCTGTTTCCATTACCATTAAATGGCCATTATAATTGTGTGTACAGCTGCAAAAAATAAAAATCAGTACATAACTAAAAGCCAGATTAAAATCAAATATGAAGTTGAAACAGCAATACTAACAGCCATTCTCAATTAGAGCCCCCAAAGACTTTCATTTAAAAAAGTTCTCCATAATATAAAAAAAAAGCCAAAGTAGGCTTGGTTTGGGCACTCCAGTTACACTACCACAATTGAAAATAGGTTATCCATGATTGCCACCCATCTAACCTCTGAAAGTGGGAGCATGTGAAACAGAGCCTCCACAGATTATCTTAGTATATGGGCAGCTTCATACAGGCAGAGACCTACCCTGCGGTTAGATTTGTCACTGATAAATGTGTATGTGGAAACATTTCTTAAGTACTGCTGTGGTATTTCCCCCCACAGGAGTCAAACGTGTTCGGGATCTCTGCAAAGTTCTGCGGCTTCCTTCTCTGTTTGAAGATACAGCTGTGTCCTATTACCAGCAGGCAATCAAACGTCCCTGCTTCAGTTTAGTCAGCTTGGAGAAGAAGGAGATGCTTGTGGGCTGTTGCGTCTTTGTGACCTGCCGCCAGCACAACTGGCCCCTGACCATGGGCACAGTCTGCCTGCTACTCTATGGAGACAAGGAGTTGTTTGCAAAGACCTATCTACGCTTCCTGAAGGAACTGGCACTGGATGTGCCTACTCTCAGCTTGATGGATATGGTGAAAAGCCACCTCAACAGGTATGTTGCAGTTCTTGTGCCCTTTCCTTGACAATACTTCTCAAAGTTGGTGTGTAGTTTCCATCATTCATAGACTGAATTTACAAGTATCATACGGACTGTGTGGTATATTGATTGGAAGGCTGATGAAACAGCAAGCTTCTTAAAGTTCAGCAGGGATGGGTGTGGTCAGTGCTTGGATGTAGGAACCCTGTGTGTGCTGTGTGCTTCCATCATGGAAGAAATGGATATTTTCATACAGTGGTGCCCCGCAAGACGAATGCCTCGCAAGACGGAAAAACCGCTAGACGAAAGGGTTTTCCGTTTTGAAGTTGCTTCGCAGGACGAATTCCCCTATGGGCTTGCTTCGCAAGACGAAAATTCCTTACGAGTCCTGAGATTTTTTTCGCTTTTCCCCCTTTATCTAATCTGCTAAGCCTTTAATAGCCTTTAATAGCCTTTTAGCAGCTAATCCCCTAAGCCTTTAAGCCTTTAATAGCCGCTAAACAGCTGATAGCGCTAATAGCGCTAATCCGTCAATGGGCTTGCTTCGCAAGACGAAAAAACCGCTAGACGAAGACTCTTGCGGAACGGATTAATTTCGTCTTGCGAGGCACCACTGTATGTGCATGTATACTCCAACTCCCTGATTTCTGAGATTTCATCTGAGGCACTTCAGGCAGGTCCAGGCTTTTCTCTTTAGCCACAGGGGCAGCAAACTTCCTTTTCTTAACAAATAATTCTCAGAATTGTGAATTCTGCTCCTGCTACCAATCCCGTAATTGCTTGGAAATCCTTTCTATTATTATTAAGGGCAAGAAGCCAACAAACAGAATTTTGTTGAGCACAAGTTAGGAAGAGTGTAAATTCAGCTCTGTCCATATAGTGCTGGTTAATGGAAGATGCTTGCCTTTTTGATTCAAGCTGCTCAGCTTGCCTTTTTGGTGTCCTTGGAAAATGCAGGGCCTTCTGCCCTTTGCCCTTTCACAGAATGCTTCTTTTTGCTCATGTCCCTCTTTCACCTATTTGTCTTCTCCATCCTGCCACATCTCTCAATCCAATGGCTTGTTTGATTTTCATCTTTCCAGCTTCAAGATTTTCCAGAATTCACCCAGCGTCCCGACTAAGTTTGTGGAAGAAAAGGAGCAGCTGGTGGCAAGGACTATCCAGATGGTGGAACTTGCCAGCGACACGTGGCTGGTGACCGGCCGGCACCCCATCCCCATAGTGACAGCAGCAGCCTTCCTGGCTTGGCAGTCTCTCCGGCCTGTCAATCGCCTCACTTGCACCCTTTCTCAGTTCTGTAAGCTTGCTGGTATGGAGGCTCCCCGGCCAGCCCACCAGAGACTGAAGGAGCTGCATAACATCCTCCTGCAAATGGCTTCTCAGCTGAGCTGGTTGCGAGTGCTGAAAGTGGACCGTCGGAGCGTGGCAAAGTACATTGGTGACCTGCTGCGGCACCGCCGTGTGCTTCTACAGGCTGCCTTCCGCATCGTGGATACTACGGAAGACCGTGACCTAGAAGACTCAGCAGCTGCGCCACTGCAGCTAATCGATGAGAGCGCTGCAACAGTAGAAGAGGCCTCCCTTTCAGGAGAGAAGCAGAAGTTCAGCAAGCGGAAACCTTTGCTCCCACCCTGTGTCTTGAACCCCGCAAAGAGGCTACGAACTCCTGAGCTAAGCCTTGAAGATTCTGCTATCGCTGGGGATGAGCCCATTTTAGACAGTGAGATAGAGCAGTATATCCGGACTCCAGAAGAAAAGGAGATGTTTAGCAAGGCTCAAGCGTGCCTGTGACCTCGAAGCTGCAAGTGATTCAGACAGGCTTGCAAGCAATAGCCTTCTGATACATATTATCTCTAGGAGGCTTAGTTTGGTAAGAATAGAGTATACACTTCCAAAGTTAATGCTAAATACATTACTTCTGGTAAATGAGCCATCATAACCCCTAGAGGATTGTGAAAATTTGTGTCCTGGGCTTTTTAGACTTGTCTACCTATGTACTGTCTGAAGCAAAGGGATTTATTGGTTGCCAGATGTGATTCCCGCCCCCCGCCCCCCCCCCCCCCAGCTCTCCTGTCCCACTAAGAATCTCCCGCATCTTTCAGGCATGGCTCCTTCCACCCTACTGTGGTAATAATTAAAGACAGGTTTGGGTGGCCTGGATAACTTTGGTTACTGGTAGGGACCACTAGTAACTAGTTGGCGAGGTTGATTATTTTCCTTCAACTCTGAGAAGAGGTATAGGAAGTGGCCACATTGCAGTGGTTTGCATGCTGTTTAGGACAACTTTTGGTGTAAAGATTGGCAGGCTTCCATGCGTATCTCTGGGTGAGAAGTAGTATCCACTCTTGAAGGGTTGGGTGGAGGCAGTCAGCCAGCCTGAGCAACAAATACCTCTTTGAGTTGGCGTTTGACTTGAATTAATGTTTGCCTGGTCTACTTATGGTCCTCATAGTTAGGCAAGAGAGAGTGGAAGAGAAGTGTAAAAATCTAATTGCAAGTTGTTTCAGACATGCATGCCTTAAACCTAGATCCAGAAGAAAAAGTTGTGGCTTTGCAAGCATCTCTTTATAGAACATTGTATGGTGGTTCCTGAACACGATACCCGTGTCACAAGATAGGTGGTGAGTCAGTCGCCCTGATTAATGGAGCTGCTTAGTTAATTTTTGTCCCTACATGCACACGGTGAGGAGAGAGCGAGCGAGTGAGGGGCCTTGGTGGAGCTCCCGCTGCCAGGGGCAGTCTACCTGCTGGGGCACGGGGCGCATGTGCGGAGAGAGGGAGGGGGCTGGTGCCAGGCGCTGCCCAGAGAGGCCTCCTAAATATGACCTTTATTTAATATGACCTCTTTATTTAGGGAGTCATAGCAGGACTTCTGAAGGAATGCGGATAAGGGTATACTTTAACTTCAAAGGAGAGAGTGGAAATGCGCCAGAGTGTTGTGTCAATGTAGGATTAGCTGGGTTCAGTACTTTGTCCAGTTCCAGTTGCTGCATTTTAAGGAGGAGGTAGACAAACTAGAGGAGGAATCTTTCTGGCTGTGGGGGGCCAAAAACTTTGACGTGTGGGTGGGGCAACCAGCATGTAAATCACATTCTGCCATTGTGACATCAAAATGTTGGCAAGTGGGTTGTCTTGACTACCTGCCAACATAAATTGTGTAGGGTTCCATGTTGGGGTTCCAGAGTGCAAGAGGCTGTGGCAGTGTTATGCCTTGTAAGCCTCCCTGCATTGCTTCTTTCCTTCTCTTATGTCAGAGATCAAAAGGAGCTTCACGGAATTGCTTTCAAAGCCTTTTGCAAGCCTTCAATGAGCTGCAGCTTGGACAGTAGGAGCGATGGTTGAATGGGAGCCTACTTTAATGGCATCCCTTATTGGGCAGGTGAGCATGGCTTCTCCAGATTGGCCTCATGGGCAAAGGGACTGGTGGGTCACGTTTGGTCTGTGAGCTGGAGGTTCTGCACCCCTGAACTACAGCATATTCCAAAGATGGTGAGGAATCTGGAAACCAAGTCCTATGAGGAACAGTTGAAAAAGCTGGGCATGGTTATCTTGGAGAAGGAAAGGTTAAGAGGAGGCAGGAGAATAGTTCTCAAAAATTCCATATTTTGGGAGAAATTGCATGCTTTTGTACATAAGCTGCTGTTTCTGTTCTAAAACTTTCCTGGTAATGCCTTTCTCGTTTTCTCTCTTTCTAGCTCTGTATCCTCTCCTGTATCCAGCTCCGTTCAAGACTGTTTGGCAGAATTTGTCTTGGTTCATGTGGTGCCTTTCAGGGAGTAAGAAGGTTAGACACACTAAGATGGCATGCATCTTGGGTTTTAGTGCAGAAACAGTCTATTCCACAGAGTTCCTCTGACAGTTGATGCCTTTTATACAGATGTCTTCATGGCATAACCTTAAATGGACAAGGTCATGCTGTGGAGCTGTTATACCATAACTCATGAACTAGTAAGGCCTGCTGATGTTGCATGATACCAGAGCATAACAGCACAGGTTAGGTGGAGCTGTTAAGCGATCATGGGACTCGGCTTAGTAGCAGAGCCTTTCCTGTGTCTTGCTGCAAAATTATATGAATATTTGGGGGAACCCATTGCCCTGAACAATGGATAAATTTACAGTACAAAATTAACCCTTTCCTGGGGGAGGCCCCAGAAAGCAATTCTGGAGAAACACTTGTTTTGTGAGGGTGCTTATAATTATTACATGATTGTAATCCCCTTTATTGAACCACACTTCCAAGGACTTAACTGAGAACCATGAAGCTATAGACAAAGTCTGTAAATATGTGACACATGACACATTTTATCTGGCTTTGAGGTCCTGTGACAGAAAAGATGAAATTGAAATTGCTGGCTAAATGCCACTTATATCAGTCTACAGACCTACCTGGCATTTTGCTTACACGGAGAACCTGACTCTGTTTAGCTTGAACTAAAAATTAACTATTTTATACGTAACACACCCTGAGACCTTGTGGGAAAAGGGTGGGTAGGAAATATTTAAGCCCCTGATGCTGAACTTTTGCTGTCCTTTATTTATACAGATGGTACAAGCTTCGCTCCAAACCAGGAAAGAAGGAAAAAGAGAGAGGTGAGATTGAGGTGGATATCCAATTCATGAGGAGCAACATGACAGCCAGCATGTTTGATCTGTCCATGAAAGATAAGTCACGGACACCATTTGGCAAACTGAAACACAAGCTAAAGGGGAAAGGAGGCAATGGATTGCCAGACACAGCTTCAGCTATTGTTCCTAGCATTAGTCACTCCCCGGCTGACAGTGAGGAAGAGTCAAATGAGAAAGAAAAGAAAAAATCAAAGTTCAGGACCTTATTCTCAAATGTTTTAACAGTTGTGTAATTTACAAAATGTGCTAAGTAGTAAAATGTGCCATTTTTTACAACTTTTTCTTTATAATGGTTAAAGCTGCACTTCTTGTATTATTTAAAGGCAGTGCTTGGAAGCTGTGAAGAAACAGAAGTGTTTACATGATTGTGCCTAATAGTTGTAAATGAGTAGGATGCAGGTGGGTCTCAGTGGTCCCCAGCCCCAGTGTACTGCTGTTGTTAAGAGCCATCAGTTGATCTAGGGCTGGATTAGGTATTAGTATTTTCAGTAGTATTGGGACTTGTGCTTTCACTGTTCTGATGCTGATTTCTTTCTTTTCAGAACCCTCCACAAATGAGGGTCACAGAAGAGGTCATACCTCAGATAAGAGCGGCACTGCGGACCTCCGAATCACAAAGGCATCCTTGAACCCTTTTGACGAAAACATCTCAGCGGAAGAGAAGCCAGAAAAAAACTCAGCTTCTGTGAAACCATCTCAGACCAAACGCGTCAAGCCCAGGTTAGTCTTGAGAAATGATCTTCTCAATTGAATTTTGAGATCTTGAGATGCTTTAAGGCTATTGCCACCCAGTGGTTTTCATTGTATGTCATAGAAAATATCTACTTTACAGGGTGAGTAAGAACTTTCCTCCTGATAGGGCAGGCATGCCCTGTGTAGGTTTCAGTTGATTAGTAACTCTGCAGGTAATTTGTAGGGTTTCTGTCTCTAGCCTTCTTGAAAGGAGAGAAATGGCAATGCATGCTGCCTTCAGAACAAAGATGATCCACATTCTTGCAAGGGGAGGGCAAAGAGAGCGAGTCAGTCCCTCTTCTGCCTCCAGGATGGAATGATGTCTAGCAAAGAATGTAATCCCCTTTATTGAACAACACTTCCAAGGACTTAACTGAGAACCATGAAGCTGTAGACAAAGTCTGTAAATATGTGACACATGACACACTTAATCTAGCTTTGAAGTCCTGTGACAGAAAAGGTGAAATTGAAATATAGGTAACTCGCAATGCTTATTTTACCTACGTGATTGCTGATTTGGGCCGGGGGGTGGAGCAGAACAAACAAACAAATGGAGAGTGGAGGAAACATTACAGAGCAGCATCCTAGAGCCCTCGGGCTGCCTGCCGAGAACCAGGTAAGCGCGACACCTGGTTCTGAGGGTTCCTGGCTTTACGCGATTTTGCTTTTATGTGCAATGGCCAGGAATGTAACCACTACATAAGATGCAAGTTAGCTGTAATTATATCTTCTGTTAGTACAGGCATAGGCAAATGGCTCTCCAGATGTTTTCGGATGACAGCTCCCATCATTCCTAGCTAACAGGACCAGTGGTGAGGGATGATGGGAGTTGTAGTCCCAAAACATCTGGAGGGCTCCTCTGTTCCAGGAGTGACGTCCTTAGCATTTTAGAAATCTTTGCATGATGCTTCCAGAGTAACTATTTCTGAGACTCATGTGGTAATATGGATAAATTATTTCATAACAGCATGTTCTCCTTTTAAAATAGGTTATTTGTTCTCTTCTCTTCCTCTTCCCCTTTACTTTTTCTTTTCTTTCCTTTTTCGAAAATTGGCTTTGCTGGCTAAATGCCACTAATATCAGTCTACAGACATACCTGGCATTTTGCTTACACGGAGAACCTGACTCTGTTTAGCTTGAACTAAAAATTAACTATTTTATACGTAACGCACCCTGAGACCTTGTGGGAAAAGGGTGGGTAGGAAAACTTAACGCACCCTGAGACCTTGTGGGAAAAAGGTGGGTAGCCCCTGATGCTGAACCTTTGCTGTTCTTTATTTATACAGATGGTACAAGCTTCACTTCAAACCCACCACCCTTTCTGTTATTCCAGAAGTGGGATCGGATGATGAGCAGCTGAGTGATTATTCCCAGGGTACTGAAAAGATTGCAGTTTCTGGAGATTTGTCCAGGAGTGGAGATGGTTCCTCAGAGTTACGGTCCTCCATTGAGGGGGGAGAGCTGACAGCAAATAAAAAGGGGACTGGTGAGAGGCAGACTGTATCGCTACTCATGAAGACAAGTGCTCCTGATGATGGATTTGAACTAAACAAACCATTGGTTGCACCTTCAGCACTAGCCCTTGAAAATGCAAGCCGTGATGTAAAGGGATTGGAGCAGAAGAATGCTGACAGCGCAAAAGAAAATAGACAGGGTGATAGTCCTGAGTTCTCTGTTAAGCCTGTTCATCTTTCCCCTCTGCCCAGTTCTTTTCACTCTATTAATTCTTTCCAATCTGATGCAGAGCCTACGAAAAAAGCTACAGCAGAGGGCTTGGGTACCAAAGTGGATCCCTCTGGCAAGAAGAAGCTGCTCCAGGCATGGGTTTCACCCCCTGAAACACATCCCAATCAGAATCTGCAGAGTGACGGAACTTATCCTGCTAAGCTCAGGTGAGAGGAATTTGGGGGGGGGGGGAGCAAAGATAAAGGCTCAAGTGCTATACTGTGCATGGCTTTGATTCTTCCCTCCCCTTTTTAACGCAGTAAGGGATTTTGTGTCCTATGGACAGGTGAAAATCTTTCCTTGTTGATCTGTATCTATTTCTTGTAGCAATGTCAATGAAGAAATAAAACTGAGCAAAGGTTTGTTTTGCTTAGGCAGTAATCAGACTCTATTTTCACATTGTTGTGACATGACTAAAGGTATCATAAACAGGAATCAGCACTTCATATTTTACCTCTAATTTTACTTTATTTTTTAAACCCACTGTCCTGTTAAAATACTAAATATAGTTTTCATGTTCTGCCAAAATAAGTGCAAGCAGCAGTTGGATAAATGCTTAACAATTTACTGCGGCACAGGTTTTGTGTTACCTAGATTTCTGAAGTGTTCCACGGGTGTAATTTAACTAAAAAAGAAACCAAGGCAAACTTTTGCAATAAACTTTGTTGAAAACTCTATTTTTCACACTTGCCAAACATCTGGGTAACTACACAAATATCCAAGGAACCAACCATATTTTATTTGGGGGGGGGAGGAGGAACAGATGTTTAGAACCATCAAGAGTGTCAGACTAGGATTCCACTCAGTGATGGGCCAGTCTCTTATCTCTATGTCTAACCTCCTTCACAGGGTGGAAGTGAGGAAAATTGGGGGGGGGGCATGTATTCAAAGTCCTTGAAGGGATATAAATAAATAGGTAAGTAAAACTTTTGATTTGAGAGCTTCTTAATCAGTCTTGAAGTGTAGAGAGGAGGGCAGAATAAATCTTCTGTTTTAACAGTAAATATAAAATCTAAACTTGCACTAATAGAGGTACGTAGAAGAGGAAAATGTGCTTTATTCTTTTTAGAAGCCAAAGCAGGAACATGTGTGCATGCAGTGCTTCATGCAAGACCAAAAGTAAAGGTAAAGGTAAAGGGACCCCTGACCATTAGGTCCAGTTGTGGCCGACTCTGGGGTTGCAGTGCTCATCTCACTTTATTAGCCAAGGGAGCCGGCGTATAGCTTCCAGGTCATGTGGCCAGCATGACTATTCCGCTTCTGGCGAAACCAGAGCAGCGCACGGAAATGCCATTTACCTTCCCGCCAGAAGGTTACCTATTTATCTACTTACACTGTGTGCTTTCGAACTGCTAGGTTGGCAGGAGCAGGGAGCGAGCACCGGGAGCTCACCCTGTCGCGGGGATTCAATTCACCGACCTTCTGATCGGCAAGTCCTAGGCTTTGTGGTTTAACCCTTCAGACCAAAAGGAGAACTGCACAAAATTGTTCAGGTACAAAGTACTATAGGATTGCCTGAACTAATTGTGTGTGCTTCTTTCAGACTTCATCCTGTGAAACCAACGCATACTACAACAAGCAAATCGTCTGCAAAAAACCAGAGCATAACATCAAAGATCCTGGATAACCAAAATGAAGCCGATATAAAGGTAATTTAAGACATACTATATTTTAAAACCTAATTGGGTGGTCTGTGCCCTGAGTTAGGAAGCTTGTAAATTTATTGGCGGGATTAGACAAACTGCAAAGGGGTATAGTCGTTTGGAGACAGAAATGTGTTCACGTTTTCTAGGTGTACGATTCCCCCTGCCCATGCTATCCTACCCATCTGGGCAATTTTCTGAGCCTTTTACTGACACAAGTTTAGATCTGTGAGTGGGTATGAATTCCCCAGGCTCAAAACTTGCTATCTTCACCAAAGGACTTTGGCCTGAAAGGGATTTTTGTTTTCAGATAAGCAAGGTTTAGTGATTTAGTGCCTCCAACTAATATTGCAAATGATCTGTTTGGTGTTTGAGCACAAAACCTGAATTATTATCACTTAACTGAAACAACCACTACTGCTGCTGCTTTGTATTTATTTAGTACTTTTTGCATGTTATGAGGAGGGTCTTATCTTCACTTTTCCATGTTTATTACTGGGAAGAAATAGTTGAAGGCAGGTGTACAGAAACCTTGTATGCACATTTGTCTGCATGCCATAAAAGTACTTACTGGCAAATCCTGAAATTCTAGTTTTTGGTGAATCTTCAGTAGCTTTTAAGATGCTTAGATAGATGACCTCTTTGCTCTGAAATCATTCCTGGGCTTCCCCAGTAATCCCTGAAACCAAAGGTTTCTATACCTTCCTTCTGATCCTTTGACGCCACCCTTGCAACAGTGCTCGATATTAAAATGACTTTAACCTGTTCATTCTTCCTTCCTAAAGAAATATGATCCTTCAGATCCCGCCTATGCTTATGGTCAGCTGACACACAGCGAGCTGATCCAGCTGGTCTTGAAGCAGAAAGATGTGATTGCAAAGCGAGATCAGCAGGTGCGGGAGCTGGAAGACTACATTGATAACTTGCTTGTCAGAGTTATGGAGGAAACCCCTAACATTCTTCGAGCTCAAGCTCATGTGAATAAGAAAGCTGGAAAGATGTGAAGGAACCAGTTTAACCTAATCAGTGGCTTTCTTGAGCAGCTTTTGAATGCATTGCCTTGTAGCTCAAACCAACTAGGAGGAATAAGTAGGGCAGGCATAGGGAATCTGGCCCTCCCAATGTGCTTGGACTCGACTCCCATCCTCCTCACGGATGGCCATTGGGAGCCCAGAGGTATCTGGATGACCACATGTTTCTCAACCCTATAAGAGAGGCTTAGCACAAAGCTGTATGTGTGCAGTGTCTCACTGTGCCTGTTTTGGTTCCAGTTTCTCTATCTGTATGAACAGTTTCTGAAGTCAGACGAAACTTTCCTCAGTTACAAAAGATTCTGTTTATGCTGCTGCATAAATTGCTGGAAGATGTGAATAGTCAGAATTACTGCAATATGATTTCTGCTGCAGACTAAAACAACTGGAGACTTTTTCTGATTTTATTTTTTATGGATCTTAGTCCTGGGTTGAAGATTGAATTATTAATGTCAGTATCTCCATCTGCCCCTTAATTTTTAAAGGGTAACTTTACATCGTGGTCCTTTACTCTGGATGGGGCACTAGCCCAGTATATGAGTTTAAAGTTTCCAAAGGATTAACTTTTGTAGGTTCCCTAATAAAACAATACATCCACCATCACTAGGCATTTGGGGTGAAATCCATATTGACCATTGTATGGGAAATTGAACTATTTGAAGATAGCAACTATAAGGTAGAACATGGCTTTTTGCAAGCTGAAGCTTGTATATGCACTTTTGGCTTCCAGTCAGATCAACTGTGATTAAAAATATATATTGTTGAAAATCTGAGCTACAAATGCAGGCAGCCAAACAGCAATCAAAGTGATGTCTGAAGACGTGGACGGATTAATTTTCATGCTTCTGACTGTAGCCATTCTTCATTTTCTGCCTATGCACTTTCAAGAGGAATGAGCTTGGCACTGAATATCTCTTCAGCCCTCCCCTTGTATTCAGTCACAACACTGGATTATAGACTTCTCAGGTAATCAAAGAGGGGTTGATTCTAAGCAAGTCATACATGGGAGTAGACCTGTTGTAATCAATGACTAAGGACTGTTGATTGTTGTGGGCCTGCTCTTAGTATGACATGATCCGATATCACCCATAGATCTTGACGTTTCCTCAATGGTTCACTGTTAATTGCTCTTGATACTGTACAATCTCATTTGCAAACACCAAAGAATAGGAAAAGCTAAGTGGTTCCTGTAGTTTATTCCTCATTTGACATGGCAATATTTATGCAATGAGAGCCCTAAGTACATAGTTTGGAGGTTGGTAGAAAAATTAATACTGTCATGTTTGAATATAAGACTTGGACTGTGAGCTTGGACTCCATGTTCCTGTTGCCCTACAGGGAGTGTGGTGCTTGTTGAATAGATTTCTCTATCTTCTTGCATAGTGCTAATTCTCTTGATGAAATCCTCTGGCTGATGCTGTCACCTTGCCTCAGCTAGGTCAATGAATTCAGGTGATTGAAAGGGGAGGAACTGTTGTCTACCATATCTAAAATCTCCAGGGCCTGTGGTGTTTTCACATATCTGTGGCTCCATAATAGCTGGACCATAAAGTCTGTAAAGGCAAACTTCTTGCGTGTAAAACCAGCATCTAGATGCCTGGGCCTCTTTTTTAAGCTAGTATATCTCATTTAAATGAACCAAATTGCTTTTTAAAAACTTTATTTTAAGAGGCTTAATGTCTCTTTGCTCCTGCTGGAACCATAAGCACACAGGCACATGCTTTTGGGAACAAGTATTTTATTGAAATACAGTTTTACTGTGTACTAGAAAATGTTTATTCCTGATGCTTATATGGTCCCAAAGTACAGTGGACATTTGTGTTTAATACATATTCAGTAGGAATGGATCTAGTAACAAATAGTGTTGACCGTTTTAATAGAAATAGTACAGGACCAGCTTCCAGCAGATTGTGAAAATCTTCTAGTTTATAACCTGACCTAAAATTTCCAGGGACCACAGGGCTGTAGCTGGCAACACAATGTGCCACATGCAAGAGGGAGTATTCTCACTGGGCCCAAATCTGCTGACCATTCTTCATATAAAGTTCTGCTCAGTTGTATACATTATGATGAGATTTGGGCAACACACAGCAAGGATACCTTGCAATCTGTACCTTCTCTTTGGTATCTGTGACTTACGCAATCCTGACATCGAAATGCTGAATTTTGTGAAAAGTGTGGTACACTGTGAGGGATATTTCCCCTTGTGCAAACATTTGCTCAGTGCTTAATATTGAAGGATCTGAATGTATATTTATATTCTGCCTTGTTACTCTTGGTACTTAATCCCATTGGGTTTTTGTTTTTTTGCAAAGACCTTCATCCTTGTGAAATGTTAAAAATAAAGTTATTTAAACTTGTGAGAACACTTGTGTTTCTTTGCCTATCTTCACAAACTTTAAGTGAAGAATGCTGTATATACAATCCACATTATTGCACGCTATATCAGAATAGTCCATACTGATAGAAATGATTCTCTGCTGTACAAGGACTGGATTTCATCATGGTGATTCCAAAGTGTGAAGGAAAAAGGGCTTCATATGCAACTGAAACTTCTATTGTGAGAGCTGTTTGTACATTAAGCCTTATATGTTTTAAGAAGCAGACATTCCTCAATGATCTTAGAATTGGTAGGCTTGAAAGAACCTGAAAAGAACCTTCGATTACTCCAACATTCTTACCGTCTCTGTATGCTATCACCTTTTCTACAAGCTCTTGAAAAAGGTAAGAAACTAAGGAAAGTGTCAGTGTTTTCTCTGTGCACAGTTATAGGAATATAGTTGCCAGCAAGTGGAAGTGCTAGGCAAAGACAGCAGGCAGGTCAAAATATCAAAAGATTTAAAACTGGCTCACCAGATTTAATTTAAGTTTGGGTTTAGATAGTGTAGTTTTAATTACCACTGAAGATTGTGCAAGTTTATAAAGAGAGAGGCTTGCAGCAAAGATTTTGGCTGGTAACTTCCAGTATTACTGTGTTCCTATCCTGCTTGTGGGTTTCCCATAGGCATGTGGTAGGCCGCTATGAGAACAGAATGCTGGATTAAATGGGCCTTTAGTCTGATCCAGGACTTCTTCTTATGTTCTTACATAGAAGCTTCCTCTCCCCTTCTGCCTCCTAGCTAACCAGTCAGTGAGCACTGGGAGAATCTTTGCAAGTGCTCCCTTAGCAAAATAGAAAGCTGCCTTAAACAGATCATTGATCCATGTAGCTTAGAATTGTCTATGCCAGCTGGGAGAAGCTCTCCAGGGGTTCAAGAAAGGGGCATTCACAGCCTTATTTGAACCTTCTGCAGGCAAAACGTGTTCAACCATTGAACAGTAGCTCTTTGCCTTCTCTCGTGTCTTCCACTCTGCAGTCTCTTCCTACCATCTCCCCATCTGTCTCTCTGGCATGCCTTTCTTCTACTAAATTTCTGTGCCACCGTTTTCATAACTCCTGCCTTTTTCCTTCCCCTGACCCACCCCTGTGCCCCTGTTGTTTGATGACAAGGCTTCACATCCAAAGTGTACAGCGTGCAGCTGTTGTGGAAATTAAATAGGAAATTAAATAGGCTTAGGAGAAAATGTGAACCCCATAAGGGTGCCTTTGTAAATGTTTTGAGTGAAGACTCAAAAGGCGGTCATTTAAATCTAGAGAGCAAATTTAAAGTCATTTTTGAAGCCCACTCCAGAATATGGAGCAGTGGCTAAGGTCAGGCTCCCTCTTCCTGCAAGAAAGTAATGGAACACAAAAATACCGGTAATAATCTAGCAAGATGTGTTTTTGTTTTGTTTTTTGCGGGGGACGGGGCGATGGCTGTTTGCAGAAGAAATCTTTTCAACTACTCAACTTCCACAATTTGAGACAGCTTTGGCTCCTAAATGCTTCCACGAAACCTAGATCAGGTTGATAATCGTAGCTCATTGCAGCTTAAGAAGCACATAGCTTGTGAAGTCCTGTGACAGTTGAGCTTTGGCACCACTCACTGCCCTGTGCTGTGAAGCAGAAATGTGCCGGAACCAATTTGGATCCAGACTGTGATTCAGACTTCATAGATCAGGAAAAGACGGAATCACCTGATGCAGCAGCACTGAGATGGAAAGGCAGGGGAAGCATGGTATGTTAAGTGCTTCAAATGAGATCTCAGCTATGATCCGAATGCCCAAATTCCTCGTTTCCAAGGGCCAATAGAGGCATCTGTGGCTCAAACCTGTGTCTTTTAGAATACTGCCAGTCTGCGACATAGCATCCTTAATTCACAGAGTCTAGATTGGGGTAGGGGACCTTCCGAATGTTGTTATGTTTACTCCCATCTGCCACTGTGGTGAATGGTCAGGGATGGTGGGAGTCCTACTCCAACACATGGGGGGCCATCTCTGGTCTAGAACCCACACTAGTTTCATATTTTGAAGGAAATACATTCATACCCTAGAATGAAGTCACGACGTCAATGATCACATGGTGGCTTCATTCCAATTATTTTCCAGCCTGTCATCTACTATACCTGCGGGAATACCAGGTTTAGGACATCTCTTTAATGATTCAGAAACCAAGTGCTTTGTGCTGACGACATAATTATATAATAACTGTCAACATGGTCTCCACCCCTGTCAAAATAGCATGCTTTGAACCAGCTCACCCTTCACTGAGCTATAACTACAAGCTATTATGTCTGAGAGTCTCATTAATATCTCTTGGGCACAGCCCTGCAACAGCAGCTATTGCTTTCTTAAGCATGCTGTAGGCTGGCCTGCTTTGCTTCGTTCTGAACTAAAATACGCACAACCAGCAGAAGCCCGCTAGAGACTGGATGTGGAAAAGAACACAAACTATTTTATTTTATTTTTTAGGGCAATTGCCCGATCAGCCCTCCACTGCCGCTGCGCCTGAGCAGCTCACACCAGAGCCAGAGCTGCCCGTGCACTTCTTTTTTTAAACCCAAAATCCAGGACATTTGCTTTAAAATGTAAAATCCCACCCTGCCCTGGATGGCCATGTAGGACCCCCAAAAGAGGACATATGTCAATCCTAGCATAGATCCCTTGTACCTTGGGACCTGATGTGACTGAATGTTTCGCCAATAAAGACCTAAACTTCCAATTGCTTGTCCTCATTGGGGCTAGGTGCGCTCAAGGTGCAGCATGATTCAAAAATGGTCCACTACGTTCAACATCTATCTAACAGCAGAATAATGTTTACCTTTCCCTGAATGGCTTGGCAGATACTTCCATTGCCTGGTGAGGTGAGTAGGAATTGAACTGAAGAGACCTTTGCCCTGCTGTGGGGCATTCCATAATTGTGGCATCAAAACTAAGCAGGCTAGGGTAGCCCTGTTTGCTGCATTAGAGAGGACAATCCTCTATTTGAAGGTTGTACATTCCAAGCATGGATTAAAGATGATGAACCACAAGGGAGAGCAGAGGCCTTGAATTTGCCCAGCACCAGTTAATACTTGGACAGCAGCTACACAACTCACCTGATCTGTCCTCCTCTCTATAGGAAGATGCAGAGGGGGGTTTTTAGCCAGAACTTACAGAAACTCAGTTCCGGCACCTCTCAGGTGAGCACCATTGCATTATAAGAGAACAAGGGAGGAGTTCATGGTGAGTTCCAGCACCTCATTTTCCAGAAAAACAGCACTGGGAATCATAGCTGGCAACCTTCCCTTATTTGGCGGGAAACTCCCTTATTCCAGCGCCGTTTCCCACTGCTGTCCCAGATTGTTGATATCCCGTCAATTTCCCGGGTTTCAAAGGAAGCAGCTCCTCTCCCTCCCTGCCAGCCAGGGAGGCTCCTCAACTGCGTTGCTCACCAGTAAGGAGTCTGAGAACGACTGGCGGGTGGAGCTTGCATGCCTTGTGCTGATCAAATTGGCCGCATTGCCTGGGGACTCGCCTTTGCTTCAGCACTTCCCAGCGGAGAGGTGACAGTGTGGTTTTCCTTGCTGCTGTATCCCTTTGCCGGGTTGCTGCGCTGTGGGAACCACCGCTTGAGGCTTCGTTTGGCTGCTGGCTGGGCTTTCTGTCTTTGGGCCTTTGGCTCGGAGGGTGTGTGTGTGTGTGTGTGTGTGTGAGAGAGAGAGAGAGAGAGAGAGAGACTGTGTCACTGAAGCTGATAGGAGGAATGCTGTAGCTTCACACACTTACCTTCACACAATGTGTAATTAACTTAGGGAATTTTTTTACCGCAGGATGTCAGTACTTTATATTTACAAGGGGATCTGAGAGATGAATGGGAGATACGGTTTGTCAGTATTAAAGGGACAGCTAAATAGAAACTTAACCCCAAAAGTTAGGACCAAGATTCAAATCCTGACTGGGTAACTTTGCTCACTAGTAACATTGAACCATGAGGACGAGATGGTTGGACAGTGTTCTCGAAGCTACCAGCATGAGTTTGGCCAAACTGGGGGAAGCAGTGGAAGACAGGAGTGCCTGGGACAGGTGAGGCTGCTGATCCCTTATTTTGGCTGCTGATCCCTTATTTTGGCTGCTGATCCCTTATTTTCGAGGCTGCTGATCCCTTATTTTCAAATCTGAAAGTTGACAGCTATGCTGGGAATATGTCATATTGATTCGTTTCAATGGGCCTACTCTCAGTAGGTCTAATGTTGGATACAACACATTGCTTTTTTGTTGTTGCTTGCATAATTGTGTTTCTGTTTATCAGAAGAGGCCAGGACTGGTGCAAAACTGCCTCTCCACCTATAACCTCAAAAAAATCTTGTCCCTTGTCCCCCTGCCCTCCAAGATTTCAAGCATTGCTTAAATGAGAACATTTTTGAATTTGTTGTATTCTGAATGCCCATCACTGCTGCACTCTCATAGTTGCTGTTTGTAGCAGAATCTTAGAGCTTCAGCTGTATTTTGGAATTTTGGGGTCCCCTGCTGCAACAAAAATCAGATTTAAGCTGGTTAACACCTTTTTCCAATGGACAAATGTATAGAAATGTGATGTAGCAACTTTTAGGGAGAGCACCAAGTGTAAAGTAAGGGCGCCATCTGCTGGTTTGAGTTTTGCTCATCCATATTTTGTTCATAATAACGTAGCATTAAATTCCCTTGTGTGCAGTGCATGGCTCATAACTGTATATGGTGTGTGCATATGTAAGTTTCTATAGTCCTCCATTCCTTCCTATGAGGGTTGCTGAAGGTTGAGGGCTTGTGCAAGTTAGGCTAGGAATGGAAGAGAGTGTCTTGTAATACTTCTCTTGGAGATGCCACAGGTCCCATAGCACGGTTGTGCAATTGCAACCACACAGTAAAACTTTCAGGTTCCACTTGCTGTTGCAAGAATTGTTGTTTACCCATGCTTTAGGTTTACCAAATGGTTTAGGTTTTAGCTGTTTGACTGTTAATAAACATCAGTTCCCCCAAAGTGGAAGCATTTTGCTGCTAGGATTATTTTATCAGGTCTGGGAAATGTGGTGCCAGTTTCACAACCACAGCATGCGCAGCTGCACAGCACTGAAGCTATTATCAAAGTGTTAAATGATTGGTCTGATTGTTCTATCCAGAATATGACAGTATTTTGAAACAGCACTCTTGAAATACCCTTAAAGAATAGGGCAGAAACTTGCTCTCTGCTTCCCTAGAGGGCAAGACTAGATTTAAGTCACAGAAAGGTAGATTTTGGTTGAATCCAGATTAAGGGGAAAAGGACCCAGACCCTAAAAGAGCAAATTTTAAAAATGCAGTGGGTTGCTTCCAAATAAGTTTTACTCAGAGTAAGTAATTACAGTTAATGGGCCTTAGTAATGTCTTATTATTTTCAGTGGGACTGTTCCAGGCTGGGTGATCACTAGACGTTCAAAGCGCCTATGAAGTTCAAAGAATCACAGGCACTGCTGTTCACCACTCACAGAGTTACAAATCACAGCAGCAGTGCATACATTTAAAGCATGTTGCTTTCTCAAAAGAATCCTGGGAACTAGTTTGTTAAGGATGCTGGGACTTGTACCTGTGTGAGGGGTAAACTACAGTGCCCAAGATTCTTTGAGGGGGAAACCGTGTGCTTTGAGTGTATGATGTAGGTGCAACTGAACATTGGATATACAATCCAATATCCTCCACTGTGCCATCTTTTCAGGCATAAGTCCCACTGACTTGCTTCCAGGGTAGTGAATATAGTGAGACTGGGGTACGTGTGGATCTTCAAATGTTGTTGGGCTGCAACTCCACAAATACCTGCCAATTGGCTGTGCTGCTGTGGCTGATGGGAATTGGAATTCTAACCATGTTTGTTCCCCATCTCCCAAACGCAGGACTGTACCCAAAAGCACTGAGTGATGATAATGGGAGTGAGGATAGAGTCACTTGAGGGGTTACCCCATGGAAGGTGTATCTAGCCCAAGGACCTCCAAAACCTGGAATTGACCCTGGTACATAGCCACAAAGTTTACTGGATGGGTTCAGGCGAATGACTATATTTCAGGAACCAGCTTAATAAGTACCATGGCCTGTTAAAAATGCACCACTTTCCTTCCCACATGTCTGCACCAGAATAAGGTCACTGTGGACACATTATGCTCAAGAACTTTGTTGTCATATATACTGGGCAAGGTTCATGTGAACAAGCCGGAGCCATTGCCTGTTTATTTGTTCTGGAGCAAAGTTCGCGTGAGCAGAGCTTTCCTCATGGAACAGTGACTCCCTTGGTCCATTTAAATCAGGCATCTCCAAAATCTGTTTCGGGGGCTTAATCTAGCCCCTGTGGCAGGCTATCTCCTGTGGTAAAATCCTAAAAAAAGCTCACAACTTCAATCCTAAAAAAAGGTCAACAGCTTTGGTCGGCCCTTCATCAAATCCGGCCCTCTTTGAAAAAAGTTTGGGCATCCCTGATTTAAATGTATAGAAATAGGATTTCAGCTCTCTTGTGTACAATCCATGGGTCTTTCAGGGCAGAACTTTGTGGCCAACGTCTGCAGCTCCATTAAGCAGAATGGACAGGAGCCCCACTACTACACAGCTGGTGGCGCTGTGGTCTAAACCACCGAGCCTCTAGGGCTTGCTAATTGGGAGGTTGGCAGTTTGAATCCGCACGAAGTGGTGAGCTCCCTTTTCTTTGTCCCAGCTCCTGCCAATCTAGCCATTTTAAAGCATACCTACTCAAGTAGATAAATAGGTACTGCTGTGATGGAAAGGTAAACGGCGTTTCCGCGTGCTCTGGCACTCATCATGGTGTCCCGTTGCACCAGAAGCATTATAGTCATGCTAGCCACATGACCCAGAAAAGTTGTCTGTGAACAAATGCCGGCTCCCTTGGCCTGAAAGCGAGATGAGCGCCGTAACTCCACAGTCGCCTTTGACTGGACTTAACTGTCCAGGGGTCCTTTACCTTTACCATAACATTGTGAAGTAAATAAAATAACGCACCTCTTATCATCTAAGCCTACCTCCACCCCCATTAAGTGAGAGTCTATGGCTGTGTACACACTCTACCTTTAAACCACATTCAAAGCACATTCTTTGAAGGAAACAACTTGTTTTGGATGTGATTTGGGTATACAACCCAAAATTACTGACTTGCACCACTATGTACAAAAATGTACTGTGCTGTTTACCAATCAGTCACAGATCAGTAACCATTCCAGGGCCATGTTAATTTGCTGTAGCAGAAACAAGAACATGTCTTGTGGCACCTTAGCGACTAAGGCTAGGTACATGCTATGCCTTTAAGCCATATTTGAAACATGTTTCCTGAAACGGTAAAATCGGCTATGATTAAATGGGCACAGGATGTAGGACATAACATTATGTTTGCTGACTGGGAACAGTTATGGACCACAGGTATGAAATTTACGGCATGTAATGCCTTAAGAGAGAATATTATGAAAATGATATACAGGTGGTACATAACCCCAGTCAAGCTTGCGAAAATCTATCACTTGCCCGATAATAAATGTTGGAAATGTAAAGAAACTGAAGGTACATTTTTTCACCTTTGGTGGACGTGCCCAAAGATTAAGGCTTTCTGGGAAATGATATATAATGAATTAAAAAAGGTATTTAAGTATACCTTCCATAAGAAACCAGAGGCCTTTCTCCTGGGCATAGTCGGCCAAATGGTGTTAAAAAAAGGATAGAACTTTCTTTATGTATGCAACAACAGCAGCAAGAATACTCATCGCAAAGTATTGGAAGACACAAGAACTTCCCACGCTGGAGGAATGGCAGATGAAACTTATGGACTATATGGAATTGGCGGAAATGACTGGTAGAATCCGTGACCAGGGAGAAGAGTCGATGGAGGAAGACTGGAAGAAATTCAAAGACTATCTTCAGAAACACTGCAAAATTAAGGAATGTTAGAGTGATGTTGGACTGAAAACAAGTGGTTTCCAGCTGTACAGGTTAAAGTTAAGGATAGATTAAGATTAAAGATCAAGATTAAAGATGTTTAAAGAAATGGAAATTTGATAATAAAAGGGAAAAATTTAAAGTTGTATGACATTAAGATTAAGGATTAGGTTTAAAAAAGTTGAAGTTATATATCTTAACGTGTTATTAAATTAAAGATTGGGATTAAAAAAGTGGAAAAGAAACTGCTGGACAAACAATGTAGATTGGAATACAAAAGAGGGAGGTATGAGGAAGTCCAGAAAATAAGTAATTTAAAATTGGAAATGGAAAAGAGAGTTTGTTTTTAATTGTTATGTTTTGTGATTTTATTGTTAAGTTTTGTATTGTTTTTTGTGTGTGTTGTTTTTCTTTTTTTGTTTGTTTAAAATTTTAATAAAAAATATATATATAAAAAAAGAAACATGTTTCCATTGGTGCCTCCCTGACTCTGCTGTTATTGCTTCTTACCAGGATGAGGCAGTGAGAAAGAGCTTCCTGGGTGTACCAGTGGGGAAACCAGATTAATGGGGACCCTGCTGATGCTTTTGTGTTGCTCTGAGCTCCCTGCCTCCAGTGTGTTTGGATAAGCAGTGGTGACATGGTTATAAGGAGTGCTGGTCTGTGGCTCCACCTCAAAACATGCCCTGCTACTCCAACAGCAATAAACCGGTGATAACTCAGTCATCTTATAATTGAACATCTTAATAAGCTGCAATTCAGCAGTGTCATGCTGGAGTTTCCCTTCAAAATCCCTTTCTAAATCACAGTTTACTCGGAAGTTCCGTTCTGTTCATCCAATTCTGAATACAGACAATGGTTTCTTATCCCACTACCAATGTTTATTTATGCAGCCTTGCTAAGATGATTGTGCTATCATAACTGACTGCTGCTGTGAAGGGTCCTTGTGCTTATTTTGCATTCATATTTTAAGCCTTTTCTGCTTTGCTGGTGGGATTCCTAGAAGCATCTGGCTGGTCACTGTTGGAGATGGTATGATGCACTAGATCAGGAATGGGAAACTGTGGTTCCCAGATGTTGGGCTCCAACTCCCATCATCCCTGACTGCTGGCCATACTGGCTGGGGCTAAAGCGAGTCAGTCCAACAACATCTGGAGGGCCTTCATACCAGATCCCACCTCCTAGTTTACTTGGGATTGAACAAAGGATGCCACAAGCGAAAAGGGGGGTGGGGAGGGGGGTTATTGGTTTGTTTTTAATTCTTGTTTTTATTCTGTATTTTGTGTTTTATACCTTGTATTTTTACGTGGTGAACTGCCTTGAACTCTATGGATGAAGGGCAGTGTAGAAACTGATGATGATGATGATAACAACAACAACAACAACAGTAATAATTTATATTCCGCCCTCCCCAGCTGAAGCTGGGCTCAGAGCGGCCAACAACAATAAAAGCAACATAGTTCACATAAAATCACAATCAATCAATTTAATATGTATTCTAAAATCAATTCATTCTAAAATCAATTCAAAATCAAATTAATGGCAACCATTGGGCTAGAGTTCTGTGAGGATTACTGAAGGAGGGGGTCAGACTGTGGAGGAAAGGCCTGGTGGAACAGCTCTGTCTTGCATAATAATGATGATAATAATAATAATAATAATAATAATAATAATAATAATAATAATAAAAAAACGACGACGACAACAATACTGTAGCTCTGGTGTTTTGCCCCAAATACTTACCCAGATGCCGTCACTGCACAAGGGTGAGTATGGAACTCCCAATTCTTTCCCACCACCTTGTCAAAATTTTGTCTTTTGAACAGCTTTGTTCCACTAGAGGGAGTCCGAGGACAAGCAGCTCACAAAGAACTATGGTTTGACACTTGCTCTGAGGACTAGGCAAATTTTCATTTGAACCCTACGTAATCTCTGAGGTTCTGTAAAGTCCTGCGCTGATACTGGTACGATGAGGAGCCCCTGACCTTGGAACTTCCGGGGTGGCGCCATCGGCAATGGCGGACTCCCTCTGATCTGGAGGGACTAGCTCCGCGCGAAACGGGTCTTTTCCGCTACGGCGAAGCGGGGACCCTTTGGAAAATCACAGGCGGATGAAGCCTGTGACCATGGGACTCGGCGGGCACCCTTAGCGCCCCCCCAACCCACAAAGGAACCCACTAATGGGCTCCGAAGCGAAGAGGGGGAAGTGGTGCGGTGCTGAGAGTCAACTGCTATTTCCGTGGAGCGAAGCCGCATAGCTGTTGCCGGAGAGCGCTGCCTTTTTCCTGGGACAATTTGGCTTCTAAAATAATCACCCATGAGTACTTAAATTTCGGACAATTGGACTTTAAATAAGGAATTGCGAGCAGAAAGCAATTGGACTTAAAAATTTACTTCAATTTGGCACTGAAACGGGAAGGTCTAAACAGGAAGTCAGCCTTCCGTTTCTTTGTAGACAGAATAAAGCAAAGACAATGTAAACTAGAGCTCAGAAAATAGCTTTTAAAAGATTAACTTTCATCATTTTAAAATTGTTGAACCCCCCTTCGGAAGCAGGCGAAGAAGGGGGATCTTTTGCGGACTGTTTAAACCTGCAGAAGTGAGTTTAAAGTAAAGTAACTTTCCACCGTCCTGATCCTGGAGCGGGGTGTCAGGACTGACGTTTGAAGCTCATTGACCAGAGACAAACATTTTTTTTTTTTTTTAAGAATATTTATTCAAGTTTTAAGATTACAAAAAAAAAGAAAAAACAAAACAGGAAAACCAGTGACATACATCTTACAAAAGATACACACCAAACAAGGAAAAAAAGAAAAAGAAAAATACACAAGACCAAAAATCACAATAAAAAATAACAAAAAAGAATTCAAATTTAACAAACCGTATTCCCATTTACTTATTTCCGTGACTTCCTCACACTTCTCTGCTTTGTATTCTAATTCAAATTGTATCTCCAGCAAATCCTTCTAACCTTCTTTCCATTCACTTATTTTAACATTTTAACATTCAAAAATATTTAATTCTCCTCTATCCTTTAATTTACACTTCATATTTACTTAATTCCATTATACTCTGTCTGCCAATACGGTCTAATATTTCTTCTCCAACCTTTCCTAACATTCTTTTATGTTACAGTGATTCTGTAAATATATTTTAAACTTTTTCCAATCTTCTTCCATCAACCCTTCTTCTTGATCTCGAATTCTTCCAGTCATCTCAGCCAGTTCCATATAGTCTATCACTTTTCTCTGCCATTCTTCTCGGGTAGGCAATTCTTGTGTCTTCCAATATTTCCCAATGAGTATTCTTGCTGCTGCTGTCGCATACATAAAAAAAGTTCTATCTTCCCTTCGCACCAATTGGCCGACCATGCCCAAGAGGAAGGCCTCTGGTTTCTTTAAGAAAGTATATTTCAATACCTTTTTAATTCATTGTATATCATTTCCCAGAATGCCTTGATCTTTGGGCACGTCCACCAAAGGTGAAAGAAAGTACCTTCGTTTTCTTTGCATTTCCAACATTTATTATCAGGCAAGTGATAAATTTTTGCTAGCTTGACTGGGGTTAAGTACCACCTGTAAATCATTTTCATTATGTTTTCTCTTAGAGCATTACAAGCCGTAAATTTCATACCTGTGGTCCATAACCGTTCCCAGTCAGCAAACATAATGTTATGCCCAACATCCTGCGCCCATTTAATCATAACAGATTTAACCATTTCATCCTGTGTATTCCATTTCAGCAGCAAATTATACATTCTTGACAAATTTTTAGTTTTAGGTTCTAACAATTCCGTTTCCAGTTTAGATTTTTCCTCCTGGAAACCAATCTTTTATCTAAGTTAAAAACCTCCCTTATTTGATAATAATGCAACCAGTCTCTGACTTTGGTTTTTAATTTGTCGAAACTCTGCAGTTTTAATTTATCTCCAACTTGTTCTAAAATTTCACAATATTTTGGCCAGTTTGTCTCCATATTGGTTTTTTTCAATGCCTTTGCCTCCATTGGTGATAGCCACCTTGGTGTTTTACTTTCCAACAAATCCTTATATCTCACCCAAACATTAAATAATGCTTTCCTGACAATATGGTTCTTAAAGGCCTTATGCGCTTTAACTTTATCATACCATAAATATTTTTTCAATTCAATTCAATTTCTTTATTCGACCGATAGTCAGAATTAAAACATTACACAATAATTATAAACTATAACATCATAAGTTACATAAGGTACATAAGTAAGGTAGAGCCACAGTACTAGATCTCTCACAGATAACCCACGTCAAAGCATTCAATTATACGTTTCCGACACTTGAGTGCCAGGAAAAGAAATTTAGCCACTGACAAGGTTGTTTTCCCAGAAGACTTATTTAGCAGATATGCTGTCTGCTTTCCTCTTTGTCGGGAACTGAGCTGGGGTAAGTATGGAGTTATAAGATACTGTCTTAAATCGTTGTAGAAGGGACAGCTCAATAAAATGTGCTCTGTGGATTCTACCTCACCCAATGCACAGTGGCATAATCTCTGGTCATATGGGACTCCTCCATATCTTCCCTTCAGGACCGCCGAGTCAAGAACATTCAGCCTAGCCGCAGTAAATAGTCTGCGGTATTCCACGTAGTGGATATCCGCCAGGTAGCGAGCTGGGGCAGCCCGATACAACTGCTCCCCAGAAACAACCCAGGTTTCACACGGGCTATGTCCTCCTGTCTGGCAATATCCCTTAATCTTTGCGCGATCACCGCCTTTGCGTGGCTATACGTCATGGACTCTATATAAAGGGAGGACAACCCACACTTCTGCACTTCCTCCACTATCTCCCCTTCCCATGGAGATTTAAAGTTATCCCTCAGAATCAAGGGGCCAAACCCACCGTTCTGAAACAGAGCTTGAGCCATAGCCATAAGTTCGCTTTCAGGGCCACATACCTAAAGGCTTGACAACCGGTTTCCAGCCTCATGATCGCACCTGCCACAGAGGGGGGGCCTGAGTATGGCCCTGAGGAATTGGGTTTGGATAGATTCCAATTTTTCAAAATCCCTACGTGAGCCCAAGGCAATGCCCACCAGCAGAAGAGGGAGGACTTTCATTTTAAAGAGACGTAAGGCAACATTGACAGTTTGTGCCTGTTTCTTGGAGTACAGGGTTCTAATCATCAGGGCTGCTTTGGATGCGTTCGAGGCTATGTATTCTCTGTGCGCCAGGAAGGACCTATTTGATCTTACAACCTGACCCAGGTACTTGAAGCAACTGACCTGCTCTAAAGGAATACCATTAATTGACCATAAATTAGGTTTCGGTCGAGCAGCAAAGACCATTATTTTGGTCTTGGCATAATTTAATTGGAGCTCGTGTTGGGTCTCATATTCATGAAGAGCTCGAAGCATCCTCCTTAATCCGATGGGGAGGTAGCTAATAGGGCGGCATCGTCCGCATACAGTAGGACATTCAAGGCTCGTCCTGCCAGTTTTGGTGGATGGAAATCAGCATTTGCCATATGCACCACTAGCGAATTTATATAGAAGTTAAACAGAGCAGGGGCAAGCAAACAGCCCTGTCTTACCCCCCTAGTGGTGGCAACCGGATTGGAGACTAGCCCCTTACTATCTATCCTAATCCTCAAGAGGGTATTTGTATGCAAATTAATAATCAGCAAGAGAAGGCGGCGGTCGATAGATGTCGCTGCCAATTTTGTCCATAGCTGGTTCCTGGGAATTAGATCAAAGGCCTGCTTAAAGTCTATAAAGGCGACGTGGAGGGCTTTTAGGCCATTGCCAGCGTACTTAGTGGCCAAGTGATTTAGGATTAAGATTTGGTCTGTTGTTGATCTTCCGGGCGGAAACCCGCCTGTTCCTCTGCGATGATATTGTTGCTTTCCATCCAGGTCGTTAATTTGTTAAGTAGAAATCTTGAATAGATCTTCCCGATAACATTTAGCAGGCTAATTGGTCTAAAATTGGCCGGGTCTGTGCGCGGCCCTTTCTTGTGAATTAACACAATCAGTGCAGAGTTCCAGCTTGGAGGAAATTGTGCTGTTTTGTTTATATAAGTAAAAAGAGCTGCTAGGGGTGGACACCACCAATCCTTATTGGCTTTAATAACATCTATGGAAATAAGATCGTCTCCGGGTGCCTTGCCCGCCTCAAATTGGCCTATAAGTGTTTCCACTTCAGAGCAGGTAACAAGATCCCACTCTGGCAAGGGGGCCAAATCTAACCTTCCTCCGCTAGCTGCGTGAGCTGCATATAGAACGGAGAAGAAGCTTTCCCAGGTGTCAGCTGAAATTTGGGGTTCTATCCTTGACAACGGTCTACCCAGGTATCTGGAAATTTGGTGCCAAAAGGAGGAGGGATTTCTATTTTCTGCAGCTTTTAGAAGGTTCTTCCAATCATTTCTTTCTGCCGCACGCTTCTTTTCCTTTAATAGTGCTTTATACCTTCTCTTGAGGATCATAAGGTGACTGCTAGGTGCGGAGTCATTTGATGCCCTATATGCCAAGAATTCATTATATAGGTTGTTCTTGAAGTGCCTGCATTCCTCATCAAACCACTTTTTATGAGAGAAATGGTTACTATTCATTACCGGGGTCTTAGCCAACGAAGGTTTTAGCAGTTCTACTAAATTGTCATATATTGGCAGTGGCTCAACTGCCTGGATAAGGGAGTCCCTTGTCTCTTGCAGTTGGTCAGACCAAAGGAGTTCATTTATCCGTTGAGCCATATTGTCGGTCCATTTTAAGGCAGTGGGCCTCATCTGAAGCTGGTTATTTGTAATAGGCACGCAGGAGTAGGTAGCCAATTCTCCATCCAGGGTCAGAGAAAGTTCTAATGGAAAATGGTCACTTTCCAGCCTCGTTACCACCCTAAA